ACTGCTTCTCCCGCCATTTCTTCCCTCTCTCTCTCTCTCCTCCCCTCCCTAGTTTTTTTTTTCTTCTGCGCGAGAGGATAACGGAAGCTACGAGGCCTGCTAGCTTTCGCTCGTTTTTTTTTTTGTTTGGTTGTTAAATACGATTTTAATTGAGGGGATAACGGAAAAGTGGAAATTTTTGTTTCGTAATACCCCCCTCGCCTTGATAAATAATAACAGGATAGCCCAGAAAAAAAAATTTGGCTTTGGAAGAACGGGAATCTTCCACGTTGCCTTTTCTAGTAGTATCTTACCACAAGCACAGCGTCTTCGGCTCCAACGAAATATTTAGGGGTCATGACGTGTAGTTCTGAATCGTACGTTTCATATTGGTAATCTATTTATGCATCATGATTATCGTCACAAACATGGGTACGCTCTAAGCTCGAAAAACTCATTTCAATATCCGGAAAAAGGAAAATTTTTTTAAAAAAAAGACCGATTTTGCTAAATAATTAGCAAAATCGAACATTTTGCTAATTATTTAGCAAAATCGACCTCTTTTTGGTCAACAGACCAAAAAGAGCTCGATTTTGAAAAACGCTCAGCTCAGAACATACGGGACTACTAGTCCCGTATGTTTTGGCCACTCATTTCTTGTGCGCAACAGCACACTAGAGCATATATTTTGCACAAGAAATGAGTGGTCAAAACATACGGAGCTAGTAGTCCTGTATGTTTTCTGGGTGAACTAATCGGCGGGGATTAGTTCACCCAAAACATACGGGACTACTAGTCCCGTATGTTTTGGGCGTTTTTCAAAATCGACCTCTTTTTGGCATGTTGGCCAAAAAGATGTCGATTTTGCTAAATAATTAGTAAAATGTTGGATTTTGCTAATTATTTAGCAAAATTGTTTTTTTTTTAAATCCCCCACGGAAATATCGAATATGGATACAGATAAAATGAGGGGGGAAATCGAACATGCGTTTGGATATTAAAAGAAATGGAAAAAAGAAAACAGATAATTGTAAAATATAATGGCCATACGATACACAAGAGTTGCTCCGCATATTTGAAAATGTAAGGTTAATTCTTTGGTTCAACAAAATTAATAAAATTGCTGATGAAATAGTTAATTATTTCGAGTATGGAAATTAAGTGGCATTTTTCAACCTAAACTTTTGCCGGATCCAGGTCGAAATCATTATGCTTGTTAAAACTCTAATAGAATCCAGGCATCCCACAAGTAGCTAGTTTGAGCTGACATTCATAATATGTGCAGGAAGCTGCAAAAGCCCCTTATAGTAACGGTTAGAACTGTTTCAAATAAGCTTATTTGTAACGGTTTCAACCGTTTCTAATACATTAGCAATGGTTAAAACCGTTACAAATGGTCCGTTGCTAGTAAAGCCGTTGCAATTAGCTTATAGCAACGATCAACAACCGTTGCAATAGTTTGCACCCGTTTCTATTAGAGAATTTTTTATAAAAATTTTAAAATCCACATCAGCAAAATAAAAATCTACGTCAACCGTTACTAAAATGTATTACCAACGAAAAGCAACCGTTGCTATAAGGTTTAAATTTTTGTTTCATAAAAAATAAAATATTCGCGTTATTAAATTCAAACCGTTGCTAAACTGTATTAACAATGGAAAACAACCGTTCCTATAAGATTTGAAAAAAAATATTTTCAATAAATATAAAATAGCATAAAAAATATTATAACTTATTCTATTAATTAGTCATAGCATTGATATTCACCTGTTTTGCATCAGCTATTTCATCCACTTCAAACGTGACAATCATTCAAATGAAACAAATCATTACCACCGTATTTTGCATCAGCTATTTCATCCACTTCAAACGTGACAATCATTCAAATGAAACAAATCATTACCACCGTAAAAAATGTAACTTGATCAATTAAAAAAAAACGTGACAATCATTCAAATGAAACAAATCATTACCACCGTAAAAAATGTAACTTGATCAATTAAAAAAAGAACTAAGAACTGTTTGATACAAGTCGTGCGAGCAAATCCAAAAATTGATGAACAATCACAAAATTTTTAATTTGGACCATCAATTTATAAGGTTCCCAACTGAGGCTCTGAGTTCTATCAGTCTGTGTCATATGGAAATAGCTTGCAAATCCTTGCAGCATCCCCTTCATGGAGTTTTATGCTTCTCTCTTAGCAGAAGTTACTGGGTCTGAAAAATCACCTCCTGGAGGAGAAACAGCACCAACAATTGTGACGCTACCAGTCCGGTCTGGACCACCAAGACATTTCACTTTACCAGCACGCTCATAGAAGGAGGCTAAACGTGATGCCAGATATGCAGGATAACCACTGTCTGCAGGCATTTCCGCCTGAAATAATCAACATTGATCAAGAAGTGCCATGTGCCAGACTTGATGTACTCAATTCTCATATCGAATATGTAAACAAGAAAATATAGAAGTAACATAAAAAATATATAGGTAGCAAAAGTATGATGAAAAATAGAATGGAAGTCAAAAACAGTAAAGAAAAAATTTGTTAGCGGATAAAATAATCTGTAGAAAATTGGGTTAAACAAGACAACTATATTTGAAAGTCAGCTTCCTTTTCCAATTTTCCACATTGGATAAAGTGATAAACCTTTGGATCCTATCTTGAATGACTACTAACTAAGCAAAGGGAAAAGGCAAATACAATCCACTTTTCAGTTTCCAATCATCATTCGAATCCAAAGGAATCAAGAAAATGAGAAGGAAAAGCACCATTAACATATGTACACATTTAGAGTTTTTTTACACATAGATAACCTAAGATTTAAGAATTCCTCTTATCAAGTACATATTAATCACCATTGCGACCTAGCTATCTCAGAGGTAAAGGGGTTGTGAAGGTCCTACTTTAAAACCAGGCTATCTGTGACCTTTACTCAGGAAAAGGTATGTATTAATCAGAGTTGGAAGAGAGCCAGAGGTCGTATCTATGGGTGGTGAGAAAAGATAGAGAATATGATATACCTGCATTCAATCATTGTGTTTGTCTGTTTAATCCAACCATGGCTTGAAAGCTAGACACTATCCTTTGCATTTCTTGCATTTGATAATCTCTTTCTTCTTTTTCCCGTGCCTTTTCTCTTTCCGCTTCCTCAGCTCTTTTCTGTATCTCCTCATGTAACTCTTGAATTTTCTTATTAGCAACATATAACTCTTGGATTTTCTGGTTAGCAACATCTAGCTCTTCTTGAAGTTGAGAGTTGTTTATACTACTCTCGACGTTATAGGATGTATTCAAGTTTTCATATTCTCCTCTAAACAACACACAATCGTTACAACATGCATGTATCTTGTCGCACTTTAAGCCCATTTCATCCATCACCTTCTTTGCTTCATACCATGTCTTTGGCACGAGATTGTCCTCAGGTAAAAGGTCTTTAAGCAGCTCAAGAAGACTGGAGAGTGACTTATTGCTCCATTTATTCAAACACTTAATTTGAAACAAACGAACAATAAAAGATAATTTTGAGTACTTCTGACAATTAGGATAAAGTGGTTTCTTTGCATCCTCGATCAAACTTTCAAAGTTTTTTGCATTCCTATCTCTTCCTGTTCTATTTAATGAATCTGAAGTCGTGTCATTTTCATAAGCCAAAGACGATGGATAAATAGATGTTAACATTCCTGCCATGTCATCTCTTGATGGAAGCACATTAATTGTTTCCTCCCGGTGCCTCTTTCGATTTTCACCATGAAAATACCATTTAGTGTAGCCATGTACAAAACCATTCTTGACTATATGCATTTTAATGGTTTTCGTATCATAGCTATATCGGTTTTGACATTTTCTGCATGGACAACATACATTGGACCGGCGTTCCACCGAATGCTGAAGTGCAAACTCAATGAAACAATCGACTCCAGCTATAAAAAAATCTTCAAAGCGTTCATTTTCTTCCTTATACATCCAACTCCTATCGACAATGTAATTGTGTTCCATCTCTCGAGGTATCTAATAGAGTAATTGACATATAAAATACATTATATTCATTTCAAAAGGAAAAGATTATGGGTAAAATTGCATATAATAGTCATGGAAAAGGTGTAAATGGCCTATTGTCATATAAATATATAAAGTGGAGTCTCTTAAATTGACATGTATAAATACCAAATTGAATAAATAAGCATACATCAGCGTAAAAATTCTGTTTATGTTAGAATCCATCACAAACTTAATCCCTCAGCCAAAACAGTAATCTAAATTTGATCAAAACGGGGTAAGAAATTCAACCCATTCCGTCCAATTTTAGTGTTTCAGCAAGGAATCAATCAAAACCCTAATTCTTCAACGAAGCCTAAAACCCACAAATAAAACTCCCACCAAAACACTGAAAACCCTAATCCCAACAGAAATTAGCAGATTTAGAGGTCAAGTTCAAAACTATACCGAAGGATTTCAATCCTCAGTGGTTGAAAATTAGCAGAAATTAACAGTTTCAATAAGCTTTAATAGCAACGGTTTAATCAATTAACCGTTACTATAAAGGGCTTTTGTAGTAGTGATAGTTTTCAATCATATTTACATAGATAGAAATCTCATTCCCAAGTAAATACATCCAATATTTTCTTAATACAGAACAATTAGACTAGTCTCAACTTCTTGAGATTTGATGTTTTCATTTGCATCTAATAAATCTTTGAACAAACGCACAGAGAGAAGAGAGTTCCAGTTATTAATAAGCAATGCAATGCCTCAAATCGCAAGGATCTTTCAGGATCTTTTAAAATTTATGTAGCCTGCTAAGCTTTCCATATGCCAAATTAAAACAACAAGAATAGAATTATTTATTGTCTCACAATTCTTCATAAAATTATCCACTTTTCACGTTTAGATGTAATCTTTGTAGCTGAAATACTTAGTAAGGTCAACACTTAATCATTTAAAAAAAATCAACGACCTACTATCTCAGATAAATTAGCATAAAATATGAAGGCATGCTGAAAGTAGACGGCAGTTTTGAAATTTGTCAATAAATAATCAAGTCCATGCAGGTGTGCAAAGGTAAAAGAGGCAATTACATTAGAAACCAGCAAGAATGACAATGAACAATTTAGCTGTGAGAATATTAATTTAAACCTGAAGAAGTTTTCCACAATCCAAGAGTATGATCTATGCATGATTGAATGTGCAAACCTAATGGCTCTATATCTGTTATTAGACATTTATATATCTTGTAGTAATATCATATTTTGCAGGTTGGAGGACCCTATTGGGATGTTCCTGTTGGAAGAAAAGACTCTAAAACCGCAAGTTTGGAATTAGCTAATTCTGATATACCAACTCCTGATCAAGGCCTCCTTCCTCTCATCACCAAATTCTTTGAGAAAGGCCTCTCAGTCACAGATATGGTAGCTTTAGTTGGTATATTTCTTCTATTATAACCCCCCTAAATTCTACTGTCAATATCTGCACAAGCTCTCACTATTACGACTACCCACACTAAATGCAGTAAGATCTTAATGTTGTGTGTCACAGGTGCACACACCATTGGAATGGCTCGATGTGTCAATTTCAGGGACAGAATCTTAGGGGATGACTTTAAACTTACATTACATTACAATCCAGCATCAGAATTATATATCAACAAGCTAAAATCAACCTGCGCCAAATGTGCAACATCGCCGGTGACTGGAAGCACAGTAATTAGTTCTGTAGCAAAACAGACTTTTTGTGGTGTCTAGAGGACAGGGGAACGCTGAAGGTAAGGTTACTTACAGAGAAGGAATTTCTTTCAAACAAGAAGGGTTGGAGCTGAAGAATGTCAAGTTTGAATCATGTGGAGGACAAGAAATCTCGAAAACAACTATCTCTAGCAACTTGAACTTGGCATGTAGTAAATCTGTAAAGCCAGAGCCACCTACAGAGCGACCCGAAAATCAATCTCAAGTAAATGCTAGGAATTCTGAACATATTACATTTTAAAAAACTTAAGCAATAACTTCAGATTCTGTCAAGAGAAACAATGTATATGGACATACAAAATCTAAGGAACCACAACATACTCTTTAAACAAATAATTTAAAAATCATAAAGCAAAAAAATCAAATATATAATCTTACCTGTAAAAGAATTGTAGAGAAGCACGTCCTTTAGAACACGATCAAGAATTTTCCAGTTAGAAAATTAGGATTCCTCTGTAAAAAAAAGGTAAATAAAAATAGAAATTGATAAGGATAATTTATATTAGATACTAAAATAAAACCATGACAAAAGAACTATTTTTTGAAAGTCCTAAAGATATATTCAAATTGTATGCGTTTTCTTGGAAATTTTTACTTGGCACATATTAATTCTCAAATTAATCAACATGAAATTAGAGAATTACTGATATTTTGCAATAAAAGCTCTAGTATCCACAATTTTAAGGATTATTAATTTGAAGGACAAATTTTCAAAACCGACCCTTTTGGGTTTTTAATTGCAAAAAACGACCGGTTTTGAAAATATTTACAAAAACCGACCTGTTTTCAGCCAGGGGCTGAAAACAGGTCGGTTTTTGTAATTTTTTTTGGGAAACTTCACGGGAGTTGAACTCCCGTGAAGTTTTTCTCATAACAAAACTTCACGGGAGTTGAACTCCCGTGAAGTTTGGGAATTTTTTTTTTAAAAACCGACACAGTTTCAACCAACTGGGTCGGTTTTTATAAATAAGATTGAAATGGGTCGTTTTTTGCAATTAAAATCCCAAAGTGGTCGGTTTTGAAAATTTGTCCTTAATTTGAAAGACCAAATAAAAAAATAGAATTACAACAATTAATATGAAAAAATGTCCAATTTTTACAAACCCATCAAGAATAACAAACTCCTTGAAGATCCAAGTCCAAAATTCAATCTTCAAACAAGATGAGAATATAAATTCCCAAAAAGAGTAAAGGCATCAAATTACTTTTCACCATGGGGAAAGCAGAGCGTTGATGTTGATCAACAAGCACGAAAAAAATAAAAACCAAATCTAATTCAGCAATACTACTGAGAGAAAAGAAATAAATCAAAGATTAAGAAAGATTTGTGATGAGCGATTTAGAAGTAGAAGAAGAGGCGGTTCTACCTGAGCGAGTGGGAGCAGAGAACTGTTAGGGTTTCCTCTATTTCCTAATTTCTTGAAGCGGGTCGGTAGAGATCGGAGGGAAAAAGGGGGAAATTTTCTATAAATTGGAGGGAAAAGAGTAGAGATCAGAGGGAAGGAGGGGAAATTTTTCCATCAATCGGAGGGAAAAAGGGAAAAATCGGAGGGAAAAGGGGAAAAGATCGTAGAGATCGGAGGGGAAAAGGGGAAAGATTTTTGGTTGATGAATTGAGAGGCGCGATCATTTTCCTTTCCCATATTTTTTAAAGAAATATCTTATTTTATAATTAAACTAATTAAGATTTTAGATGGGTCCCTTTCAAATAGAAAGGTATTATAAGAACCGCTTAAATTAGGTTCTATTAGAAACGATTAACTAAAGTATTGTTACTAATAGGACCTTTTGTAGTAGGGGCATTTCATTCAGATGCAACTGCATGCCTAATTTATATATTCTAATCAAATGTAGGAAAATTTTATTTTTCCATCGTGGAATTGTCTGCATTAGCTTTAAAAAGGTGAAGATCTAGTAAAGAACTCCTCATGACAAAGTTGGAGATGGTTTTATTCGGGTTTGGTTTTCTGCGATTTAATTCTGAATGGTTTGGTGATGCCAATATTCTTATTTCGTAGACGTATATAAAAAATGCCTACGACCATTTAATTTTTGAAACAGTGGTTGTGAACTCAAACGACAATATTATTGATTAAAGACTGACATGTTGGATTTAATCTAATAAATCTATTTGTGGGCACATATGATTAATCATTGTGTATTGCTATCTTTCAGGATAACCCACTGAAGTGATCAATTAAGTTGGGTTAATTTGGTATTTAAATGATCATGGGGTCATATGTGCAGATACCAGGTTGTAATTGTAATTTATTGAGGGGCTAAATTACAAAAGTACAACATCTATAAATAAGGGGTTATGGTCCCTAACCTAGGGTTACATTCTCTAATTCTCTACACCCCCATCTAGCTAGAGAAATTCGGCTAAAGAGAAAACCCTAAGGTTAGAAGATCCAAAACCCAAAATCAAGATCAAGCAATGGATTCAGGTATAAGCTTCCGCTCTCTTTTGATTTTGTTAATCTCTTTGAATTAATCATGGCTATATGGTTTTAGATCTCAAGTTTTATGATGTAGATCTAACAAGTGGTATCAGAGACACCTTGATTAATTCTTAGGGATTTAAGTTTTATTGGGTTTTTGATCTTAAATCTCTGGTTAAAGATTCATTTTTGGGTTCGGATGAACAGTAATGTTCTCGGATGAACAGTAACGAAAATTTTTTTCGGGTGAACAGTAAAGTATTTTTTCCGGATGAACAGTAACTGAAAAATCGCCGGTGAACAGTAGCTTTTGGGAATTTTTCTTTGATTTTTCCTTCAATTTTTCCAATTCTGGATCTGTTTTGAAAATAAAAATCAAAGGTTTTTTTGGTTTGTCGGCGGCGGTTTCAATTTGAAACCCTAAGGGTTCATGGCGAAAATTAAGGAGGTGGTTACCTCAAACGAACCTCGCGTTTGTTCAATTTTAACCGAGTTAGAGAAACCCTAAGGTTAGAAGATCCAAAACCCATCTCAAGGTTCATCCATGGATTCAGGTATAAGCTTCCGCTCTTTTGATTTTGTTAATCTCTTTGAATTAATCATGGCTATATGGTTTTAGATCTCAAGTTTTATGATGTAGATCTAACAAGTGGTATCAGAGCCACCTTGATTAATTCTTAGGGATTTAAGTTTTATTGGGTTTTTGATCTTAAATCTCTGGTTAAAGATTCAATTTTTGGGTTCGGATGAACAGTAATGTTCTCGGATGAACAGTAACGAATTTTTTTTTCGGATGAACAGTAAAGTATTTTTTTCGGGTGAACAGTAACTTTTGGGAATTTTTTGGATTTTTCTTTGATTTTTCCTTCAATTTTTTCCAATTCTGGATCTGTTTTGAAAATAAAAATCAAAGGTTTTTTGGGTTTGTCGGCGGCGGTTTCAATTTGAAACCCTAAGGGTTCATGGCGAAAATTAAGGAGGTGGTTACCTCAAACGAACCTCGCGTTCGTTCAATTTTAACCGAGCTTCGCGCTCAACGAACCTCGCGTTCGTTCTAAGGTGAACCTCGCGTTCAACTCAGGTGAGCGTCAAGCTCAATTTTAACGAACCTCGCGTTCGTTCTAAGGTGAACCTCGCGTTCAACTCAGGTGAGCGTCAAGCTCAATTTTTTTAACGAACCTCGCGTTCGTTCTTCAGACGAACCTCGCGTTCGTACTTCAGACGAACCTCGCGTTCGTACTTCAGACGAACCTCGCGTTCGTACTTCAGACGAACCTCGCGTTCGTACTTCAGACGAACCTCGCGTTCGTACTTCAGACGAACCTCGCGTTCGTACTTCAGACGAACCTCGCGTTCGTACTTCAGACGAACCTCGCGTTCGTGCTTCAGTCGAGCCTCGCGTTCGAACTTCAGACGAACCTCGCGTTCGTACTTCAGACGAACCTCGCGTTCGTACTTCAGTCGAACCTCGCGTTCATTTTTTAAACGAACCTCGCGTTCGTTCCCAAGTTGAACCTCGCGTTCTTTTATCAAACGAACCTCGCGTTCGTTCATTTTCAGACGAACCTCGCGTTCGTGCTTAAGTGAGTCTCGTACTCAATACAGTCGAACCTCGCGTTCGAAGTTAAGGGAACTTCGTGTTCATTATGGTTAAGCCTCGGCTTTTCATGGGTCCACTTTGGTATACTTAATTTATTCAATTAAGTTATGGGCCCTAATTAAGCTGTGAGACCCCAATTAAGTTTTTGGAAATTCAGTTGATTTAAATTAAAACTTTTTAATTTAAATCTAATTTGGTTTTTAATCAATTATTTAATTCAAATATTATGACACTAAGGTATTAAGGTTGTCTCTCACTCCAATTGATTAATTGAAACAAGAAGTTGCCAAAGTAACCTCTCTTGTGTAGATTGTTCATGAGGAATGTGAGATGTTTGTGTGTATGCTTTCGTGTAAATATTTAATCGGCCCAAAGGAAGGTTAATATTTATTTAGACTGTATACACATCTGCGATGATAAGCGTGTGACAATTATAAGGTTTACATGTGAATAATGAATCGATCCAAAGATAGTTTCATTATTTGACATGAGTTATTGTCAATGTTTGATCATTGCAACAAGGTATCACTTACAAGTTAATATTACTGTCCAAAGACTTGATATTAATGTTGTGCCGGTATCTTGGATGGGGATTGTCATTATTTGAATTTTATTGATTATGGTTATTGATGTGAGCATTTTTGTTTTATTTCAGCTAATGCATCTGCTGCAACAATTTCTGCTAACATCAACTCAATTCCCATGCTAAATGGGACAAACTTCAAGGTTTGGAAAGAGAACATATTAATTGTTCTTGGCTGCATGGATCTTGACTATGCATTAAGAACTGAACAACCCCAACCTCTCAATGCGGATAGCACTCCTGATGCAAAGAAGGAGCATGAGAAGTGGGAGCGTTCAAATCGCATGAGTCTTATGATCATTAAGCGCGGCGTTCCGGAAGCCTTCAGGGGCATAGAATCCGAAGGGATTACTAAGGCTAAAGATTTCCTTGCCGAAATTGAGAAGCGTTTTGCGAAAAACGATAAGGTAGAAACAAGCACGCTTTTAGCTCGCTTGATTTCAATGAAGTATAAGGGCAAAGGAAATATCAGGGAGTACATTATGGAAATGTCTCATATTGCTTCAAAGCTTAAGGCACTTAAACTCGATCTTTGTGACGAGTTATTAGTGCATCTGGTTTTGTTGTCTCTTCCTGCACAGTTTAACCAATTTAAGGTCAGTTATAACTGTCAAAAGGAGAAATGGACTCTAAATGAGCTCATTTCATACTGTGTGCAAGAAGAAGACAGGTTGAAGCAAGATAAGACAGAAAGTGCTCATTTGGCCTATGCCTCTAAGGATAAGGGCAAGAAAAGGAAGAATGATAAGGAAGCTGCTAAGGGTCCAGTTGAGAAGAAACAACATAAGGATAATCAGGGTTGTTTCTTCTGTAAGAAGCCTGGACATGTAAAGAAGGACTGTACAAAATATCACGCCTGGCGTGATAATAAGGGTACGTTCCTTGCTTTGGTCTGTTCTGAGGTTAATTTAGCTTCAGTACCTAGAAACACTTGGTGGTTAGACTCTGGTGCTACTACTCACATAAGTGTTTCTATGCAGGGTTGCATGAGCTACCGAAAGCCAAGTGATGTTGAAAGACACATCTTTGTGGGCGACGGACAATCGGTAGATGTGGAAGCAATTGGGCACTTTAGGTTGTTGTTAGGAACTGGTTATTATTTGGATTTAAAAGATACTTTTGTAGTACCGTCTTTTAGACGGAATTTGGTTTCTGTTTCTGTATTGGACAAATCAGGTTATTCTTGTTCATTTGGAAACAGTCAATTCAGTTTATCTTTTAATTCAAATGTTGTGGGAACCGGTTACTTGAGTATTTATGACAACCTATATTTGCTTGATACAATTGCTTCTTACAATGAATCCTTGCATGTGGAATCACGTGGTACTAAGCGTAAATTAAATAAGGAAAATTCGGCGACATTATGGCATAAGCGCTTAGGTCATATCTCAAAAGGTAGAGTTGAGCGTCTTGTGTCTGATGGCATTTTGGATTCTCTTGATTTTTCGAACTTCAACGTATGTGTTGAATGTATCAAGGGAAAACAGACCAAAGTGAAAAGATTAGGTGCTAACAGATCTTTGGATGTCTTAGAATTGATACATACGGATATTTATGGGCCATTCCCTACGGAATCCTGGAATGGTCAACAATATTTTATATCATTCATAGACGATTACTCACGTTATGGGCACCTATATCTTATTCATGAAAAATCTGAGTCTCTGGACATGTTCAAAGCCTATAAAGCTGAAGTTGAGAATCAACTCAACAGAAGAATTAAAACCGTCAGATCTGATCGTGGTGGTGAGTACTACGGTAGATATGATGGTTCAGGTGAACAACGTCCAGGACCATTTGCTAGATACCTAGAGAAATACGGTATCGTCCCATAGTACATCATGCCGAGTTCACCTAGCATGAATGGTGTAGCTGAAAGACGAAACAGGACTCTTAAGGATATGGTAAGAAGTATGATTGCTCATTCTTCGTTACCAGAGTCTCTCTGGGGAGAAGCACTTAAGACAGCAGCTTACATTCTGAATAGAGTACCAAGTAAAGCAGTTGCTAAAACACCTTATGAGCTTTGGACTGGTCGAAAGCCCAGTTTAAAGCATTTACATATTTGGGGATGTCCAGCTGAGGCAAGGCCTTATAGGCCAAATGAAAAGAAATTGGACTCCAAAACAGTTAGCAGCTACTTTATTGGATACTCTGAACGCTCTAGGGGCTATAAATTTTATGATCCCACTATAAGGAATATTTTTGAGACGGGAACAACAACATTCTTTGAGGATGTTGAGTTTGGGGGGAGAAATAAGGTTAGAGACATTAGTTTTGAGGAGGAATTGGCTTCAGATCCAATCCATACAGTTACTTTTGACAATATTCAGGTTCCTATACCTGTTGTTGCTCAAGAAGTAAATCCGGAACCTCAAGATGATAATGTTGAACAACTCCCTGTTCCAGAAGAACAAACTCAACAACCTCAAGAACCAGTGCCATTAAGGAGATCCACGAGAGAAAGGAGAAATGCTATTCCGGATGATTATATTGTATTTCTCCAAGAACATGAGGAAAGTAGTGGAATGTTAGAAGATGATCCAATCAACTTCTCTCAGGCCATGAAAAGTTCTAACTCTCAACAGTGGATTGATGCCATGAATGAAGAGTATAAGTCTATGCAAGACAATAAGGTTTGGGAACTTGTCCCATTGCCAGAAGGTGCAAAACCAATTGGTTGTAAATGGATTTTTAAAACCAAGCGGGATGCAAACGGTAATGTGGAGAGGTATAAGGCGCGTCTTGTGGCTAAAGGCTATACTCAAAAGGAAGGCATTGATTATACAGAGACTTTCTCTCCGGTTTCATCGAAAGACTCTTTCAGAATAATCATGGCACTTGTTGCTCATTATGATCTTGAGTTACATCAGATGGATGTTAAGACTGCATTTCTCAATGGAGACATTGATGAGATGATTTATATGGTGCAACCAGAAAACTTTGTGTCAGGAGACCCAAAGAATATGGTTTGCAAATTAAGGAAATCCATCTATGGACTCAAGCAAGCTCCTCGTCAATGGTATCATAAGTTTCAACAAATAGTTATCTCGTTCGGTTTTGAGATGAACATTGTTGATGACTGTGTATATCACAAGTTCAGTGGGAGTAAGTATATTTTTCTGGTTCTGTATGTGGATGACATCTTGCTTGCCACTAATGATATAGGCATGTTGCACGAAACCAAGAGATTTCTATCAAAGAATTTTGAGATGAAAGATCTTGGGGACGCCTCTTTTATATTAGGGATCCAGATACATCGAGATCGCTCTCGGGGTATTCTTGGATTATCACAAAAGAGCTATATCGATAAGGTACTTAAAAGGTTTGGCATGCAAGATTGCAGACCAGGTGACACCCCTGTTGCTAAAGGAGACAAGTTTAGTCTCAATCAGTGCCCTAAAGGTAACCTTGAAATTCAGGAAATGCAGAAGATTCCTTATGCTTCGGCTGTAGGAAGTCTAATGTATGCTCAGGTATGTACGCGTCCGGATATTGCGTACATTGTTGGGATGTTAGGCAGATACTTAAGCAACCCTGGTATGGATCATTGGATAGCAGTCAAAAGGGTTATGAGGTATCTTCAGAAAACAAAAGATTACATGCTCACATACAGAAAATCAGAGAAATTAGAGGTCATTGGGTATTCGGACTCTGATTTTGCTGGATGCCAAGATAGCAGGAAGTCTACATCAGGCTACATTTATATGTTAGCAGGAGGAGCTATATCATGGAAAAGTGTCAAACAAACACTAGTAGCTTCCTCCACTATGGCAGCAGAATTTGTAGCTTGCTATGAGGCATCCAATCAGGGAATATGGCTGCGAAATTTTGTCACGGGACTGCGCATTTTGGAAAATGTTGAAAGACCACTAAGGTTATATTGTGACAATAAATCTGCAGTAATGTATTCCAATAACAACAGGAGCTCAACTAAGTCAAAACATATTGACATTAAGTTCCTGGTTGTGAAAGAAAGGGTACAGAGTGGACAGATATCCATAGAGCACATTGGGACAAACTCCATGATAGCTGATCCTCTTACTAAGGGATTGCCACCTAAGGTCTTTCATGAGCATACTGCTCATATGGGTGTGGTATTATTTGAGGATATTATGTTTTAGTGGGAGTTTGTATTTGTGGTGCTTTATGTTTGTTTGTATTGTCTGATCAGAATAAAGTTTTCAGTTAAGACACTCTGTTACATTATGTTTGGTTTTGACCTCACTAAGGAGGACCAGTTGAAAATAGACATGTACTGATCACATTGCATGTAATTTTCATGCTGCACATCCATGATTGATCTATGTCATTTGATTGTATTGGTATATGTGACCATTGATGGGTCAAGTCACGATAAATGTGACGAAGGCCGCTTTGATCCTATATTGATATAGTCAATGGACGAGATTGTTCGGAAATATCATTTCAGTGATAGCAATTTTTGAGCTCATAAGGTTATACACAATTTAAGGAATCATATGGTGCCCAAGTGGGAGATTGTTGGATTTAATCTAATAAATCTATTTGTGGGCACATATGATTAATCATTGTGTATTGCTATCTTTCAGGATAACCCACTGAAGTGATCAATTAAGTTGGGTTAATTTGGTATTTAAATGATCATGGGGTCATATGTGCAGATACCAGGTTGTAATTGTAATTTATTGAGGGGCTAAATTACAAAAGTACAACATCTATAAATAAGGGGTTATGGTCCCTAACCTAGGGTTACATTCTCTAATTCTCTACACCCCCATCTAGCTAGAGAATTTCGGCTAAAGAGAAAACCCTAAGGTTAGAAGATCCAAAACCCAAAATCAAGATCAAGCAATGGATTCAGGTATAAGCTTCCGCTCTCTTTTGATTTTGTTAATCTCTTTGAATTAATCATGGCTATATGGTTTTAGATCTCAAGTTTTATGATGTAGATCTAACATGACATCAATGTTATTCTTTTACGTTACATTGCTTGAATTAACTCTATTCCAGTAATTTATATATAGTTCTTACTCGTTACTTGCATTGCCTTGCAAAATTATATATACAGGCAACAATGTGCTTATAAATGCAATGTGCTTATAAATGTTATTAGTCGTACATTTGAGGTTTGGTGAGACGAGTTTCGTGAGAGATGAACTTGTATAAATTTCGATTAATGGATTAAATAGCGTGTGGTATTTCTAACTGTGGCTATGCATTTAGATTTATTTATGTTAGATATAAAAGATTGAGTTAGGAACATGAAATAATTTGATAAACTATATACGCTTCTATTTATGTACTAATTAGCATGTGATTCACAAATGTGGGGATTATGTTTTAATATTTGTTTACGTTAGCTAGCATGAAGCTTTTATGTGCATGCAACAATCATTTGATCAAACTACTGTAATTGAGGATGACATTATTTTTTATATAACTTATAGTAGAGTCATCTACCTGCTTCCTCGATATTTTTCTTCAAAAAAGTTTATGATGTTAATATCCATGAATTCATAATATTTTTTGGAACTTTTTTGTCTATGGCTCCAACAAAACATTGCATTAAATTTTGATTCAATACGATTAAATTATGATATTAATAACATGCTAGCCTTTTACCCCCAAAAAAAGCTAACTTCACCATATCACAAAAAAATATTTTTGAATATTATTTGAAACAACCGCTTGATTCAAACGCTAGGTTTGACTTTTAACCGTTCAAAGTTTTGTTGTACGTATTTAACCTCCGCTTAATTTGAACGCTAACATTTTTTGTTACTAATTTAACCTCCGCTTGATTTTAACGCAGACCCATGTCTCACGCGCTTCTCACGCGGCCTCGCCCTTTTTATAAATCTGAGGACAGCCCGTTCCTCTCTTCGGATTCAAACTCAAAAATGAGAAGGGGAGAGAAAATTCTCCACGAATTGGTAAAATTCTCTCTTATTTCTCCGTGCTTAATTTTTTTATTTCTTAGTTTCTAGCTGGAAAGTCGCAGGATATTGGATGAAAGGAAAAGATCAATCTCACATTTGTTTATAATTTTAATTCTTCGTTTATTTTCTTTACGAATTAGTCTAGAGAAATGGCGGCCACGAACGAAAGAAAACCCTAACTACCGAGTAAGATTCTGGCTCCTTTGCTTCTATTTCTTTCTTTTTTTCTTAATTGAAAAACCCGAATTTTATTTGACGACTTCATCAGGTTGCTACAAAAGATCGCATCTTTTCTGAGGTATTCTCCAATCTCTCCCTTAATCTGGGTTTCTGAGCAATTAAGGGTTCCTTAGGTAGGATCTGATCTAATATACACTAAAATACTAGGGGGGACTAGGGGGGTTGAATAGTATTATTTTAAAATTTATGCAAAGTAGATTATAAATTACAAGAAAGATAGCAACAATCACAGAAATTTGCAATCACAAACACAAGCTTTTATACTGGTTCCACCTCCCCGGTGTACATCCAATCCCCAAACGAATCCCGCTTGAAAGTTCCACTACGATTTAAAAACTATTACAAAATCAAAAAGAAAACCTGACCAATTTGCAAGACCATGCAAATTGCACGTAATCTCTTCACCAAGAGATCACAACTCTCGCACCCGAGAGAACTTTTCTTGAATCAACAACACAATTCCTATAAGCCTTGATTGTGTAGTGATGTGCAGCAGTGGCTTTAGGAATGTTTTTAATATCTGAAAGTTGCCTAAATAAGTTGTATATTGGATGAAGATCAAAGGCTAACTTAGAGAATACTTTTCTCAACACTTAGTGAAAAATTTGAATGTTTTTAACTCTTGAGAATGCACAAATATTGAATCTTATAGATAGGAATGATTAGTAGCAATTACTGAACTTGTAACCTATTTATAGCCATTGAAAAGACAAGTTTTCAATGCCAATTAACGGAACAAAACGGCTAAAAACAGTCACAAATTCAAATTCTGAAATGTCAGAAAACTATCACTGTAGTTGACTAATAGTCGTTGGAGTCGACTACACTGAGTTAGAACATACTCTGTTAATTCAAGATATTTCTTAGTAGTCGACTACACTGGTCATTAGTCAACTACTATGTAAAAGACAAAGTCTGGAATTCAAATTCAAAGCATGGCCTGTTGTTGTCCCAAAGAAAGTATGTGTTATATTTACCAGAAGAAGCAGGTCTCTTGGAATGCAAACCTACAAGCACCCTAATGAAGGTACATATTGATTTGTGGCGTGATAATAGCTCTCTACTAGATGATGCTGGACGATATAGGAGACTGATTGGGAAACTAATATATTTGACAGTTACTAGACCTGATATTACCATTACAATAGGTGTACTAAGCAGGTTTATGCACAAACCTAGAGAGGTTCATTGGACAGCAGCTCTGAAAATTTTGGCATATGTCAAAAGTTATCCTGATAAGGGATTACTATATAAGAAGCATGAACTTACTCACATTTCTGCTTTCTCTGATGCTGGCTACGCAGGAGACATGAGAGACCGAAAGTCAACCTCAGGATTCTGTACTTTTGTTGGAGGTAATCTTGTGACTTGGAGAAGCAAGAAATAAGATATAGTATCACGGTTTAGTGCAGAGGCCGAATATAGAGCAATGACTCACACTGCTTGTGAGATGGTGTGGCTACGAAAGTTTATGACAGAACTTGGTTTTGTTCAGCCTGGACCCATGTCAATGTATTGTGACAACCAGTTTGCCATTTACATTGCACAGAATCCTGTGTTTCATGAGAGGACAAAAAAAAAAACATATTAAAGTTGACTGTAATTTTATCAGAGATGCTTGGGAGAAGAAGATAGTATCTCTCATATTCACCCCATCCTCACAGCAACTTACTGATATTCTTACCAATGCTACTTCTTTAAAGATGTTCTCTACTATATGTGACAAGCTGTGCATGGTGGATATCTATGCTCCAACTTGAAGGGGAGTGTTAAATTAAATATTGGGTTAGTATTGGGTATTGGGTTAATGGGCTGTAACCCGTTACCTTTAACCCTATTTGTATGACTATATATATCTCTCTTATTATCTTAATGAAATTAATTAGGGTTTTGATCTCTTTCTACAGTTATATATGATTATCATCCGATATGATAACCTGATATTTTTTACATATCCTCGATATGTACCCGATTTCCGCAATCCGTTATGAATTTTGGTCGTCTGATATTTCCGTTATATCTAATATTTAATACATTGCGGACACGTACGAACATGGTCCTAACACCTAAAAGCCTATAACTTATCTTGGAGGATGTTTGGGCATTCACAGCTAAGGAGAAATTTTATCATTTTATGCTTGGTAACTTTATTGAAGCAGCTTTTGATGTTCAACTTGAAGGCTAATATGATGTATATTATTATTTTTATTTTTAGTATCTCTAATGTATTGCAGGTCCGTTTTAAAAAATAGGAGCTTATTACTAACTGCGTGGTGAGCTAGTTTTGTTTCTATGCCGTTCATCAACTTCTTAATTCACATTACTATATGGTTCCAAAAGCATGTAGGTTATCTTGTAGGATGTTGAGGTGCTTGTGGCTAAGGAGACAAACCTTATGCTTGATAATTTCACAGGTTTTAGTATTCAAATTGAAGGCTAATATGATTTATGTTAGGTTTTGATTGCATCTACCTTACTGCAGGTTTTTGAGAATAAGAGCTTAGACTAGCTGCAGGTTACTATAAGATAATTCATTTCTATCGCATTCATGTACTTCTTTATAAGCATTATCATCTGGCCTTAAAAGCCTGCAAGTTATCTTGTAGGATGTACTTCTTTATAAGCATTATCATCTGGCCTTAAAAGCCTGCAAGTTATCTTGTAGGATAATCAGGCATTTGGAGCACAGGAATAACCCTATGCTTAATTTAATAGTTAATAGCTTTACCTAGTAGGTTTTGGTATACAAATTGAGTGCTTATATGATTTTCCCCCTATTTTTGTTTCTTTAACCTATTCTTGTACCTTGTAGTTACGTAAGACTATAAGAGCTTGCTACTAACTGCAGAGCGAGATATTTTTTTATGTCTATGGCATTCGTTTATCTTTTTTTTTTAATTTTCTTTACTGTCTAGTCTTAAAATGAAGTATGTTTGTAGGATATGTAGGACTTTGTGTGGAGAATTTTTTGAAAAAGACATTTTTTGAAAATTAATTAGCAAAAGCTGACCATTTGCTAAATAATTAGCAAAATCGACCTCTTTTTGGCCACGTTATCAAGGCTAGACAAAAGGAGCTTGATTTTACAAAAAATCGTCTTTGAAATACATGGGACTAGTAATTCCATGTAATTAGCGAATGCTACCCACAGATTAAACTACTTCATTTCATTAGCCGGGCCTAATAGTATAAATAATAGAGACTTACATTTCCCCTAAAGAAAAATATGGGTTATCAGTCCTGTGTTCTCAACAAAGAAGAACAATACATTTGACAAACACGCGACTACATGTTTGACGAATACACAGGACTAATAGTCCTGTATATTTGTCGAGTATATATAACCGGCACAGCTGCCTCACTCTAATTCTTTTGATCGACCTCTCTTTCTCTCTCTCAATTCTCTCTCTCTCTCTCTCACAATTCTCTCTCTGATCGAGATCTCCCTCAAATTTCTCTTTTACATTCTCTCCAAACTGCGTTCATACCTCAAATCTCACCCGATTCTCTCCAATCTTCACTCCCTCAAATTTCTCTCTCCTTCTCTCTAACCCAAACCAAACCTCCTCCCCCAACTTTCTGTCTTGATTCACTCCAACACTGAGTGCTGCCGTCTACCTCGATTCTCTCCAACGGTGTTGAACTCCGACACTATCTAGCCTCTCTGACGCTAACAAGCTCTAATGCTATTGAGCTCTGACTCCTCATCAAGATGAAAATTTTCTCATTATGTATAGCTTCCAGTTTCATTTGTAATATGAAATAACCATATGTTTTGAATAATTTTATTTCAATTTCTATAAACAATGTGGTTTGGTTACAAGTAGGATTTAACTAGAAAATTGGTATCTTAAAATAGATATAGAGGGTTTGTCAATTGCATTTAACTAGAAATATGATATATAAAATTTAATATAAAAATTTCACACATTTTTAAAGTCTAATAGAAAATTTAATATGTGAAATGTAATAGATAGTATGCATATAATGGAATGTTAATCTTTTAGTTTCAATGGCAAATAGAATATCCATTATTTGCTTCTTTAATGGAAGACTGAGTGTTATAATGAATAATATGCCTATATACAAGGGAGGTTCTAGAAAAATATTCATGTTATCTAAATCATGCAATTTCGAAAATAATGAAGGAAATACACAAAGTTACTGGAATAAATCATGTAGAGTATGCACCTAAGGTGCTCTGAAACTATGCGATAAACAAGAATAGAACAATTGCTATAGAGATCACCAATAAATGTATTGATACATGAAACAACTTTCTAAAAAACAAATCTCAATTGAATTGTTCATTGATTTTTTTTTGATTTTCAGCGTTGTTTAATTTTCGAAAGCTCCGAGAGAGTTGTGTCCCATGCTTGAGTTAGAAAACAATTCGAGTGAATTGTGTCATCTCCAAGTGCCATGCACGTAGAAAATAATTTGAGTGAAGTAGCGTCGACTCAACTGCAACATTAAGCAGGCTTTCCCTTGGTGCAACATCAAGTGATAAGTTCGACAACACTTTGAGCCATGTTATGGGTCATTTACCGGTTGGTTCCACTATAGAAGAAGATGCATATGATTATGCTGAAGATGTTGAAGAAGATGAGTGACTTGATAGCATGCAGTGTGCTATTGGAGGTATCGATGAGGACACCTGTTGGATGGATGAATTTTGTGTAAACGACGATTGTGTGGAGTTTGAAGGAATGTTGCCAGAAGAGTTTTAGAATGAGTATTAGATAAATGCCTCGCAAGCTGAGTTTGTTAATGTTAGTTCAAATTTTGAATGACTTGAAGAACTTCACTTTCAAAAAGGAGATTTATTTGAGAACAAGGAGGCATTGACATTTACTATACGTGAATGGTCCATCAAGAAAATAGTCAAATTCAAGCTGGTGAAATCTAGTACTAAAAATGTAGTTGTTAGAATAAAAAATAAATGGCCAATTTACGATCTCTAGTTATTGCGGACTTCTTCTTACAAGTTGCAATTCGTCTATCAATGTCGATCATAAGGCAACAATTTTCTCTTATATCTTAAAGCTAATTATGCCCAAAGTAAGAAGAGAACTTGATCACTCTTGGTTAGATATTTACAAGAGTATACGATATGAGGAAAATAACCATATCTAAATATAAGGCATATGATGCACTGAGAAGGGTGTTAGCTAAACTCTTTGGAGATTAGGAGAAATCTTACAAATTATTTTTTTTACCAATTAAGAGGAAAAATCTGGTACCGAATATAAAATATTGTTTAAAGAGAACATTTGGTCCCGCTATCAATGGGTTCACACCTTGTCATATCATCCGCTTTTGAGCATTGATGGCACACATTTATGTAGCAAGTACAAAGGAGTGCTTCTGGCCGTAATCGGGGTAGGTGCAAATAGTGGTTTATTTTTCGTTGGTCTTTGTAGTTATTGAGGTAAAGTACACATTGAGTTGGAAGTGGTTTTTCAATGTATATACAGATTAATTCCTACTATCCAAAGTCCCATAATGATTACTTTATATCCAACAGGATAAAAGGAACTCTACGGGCGTTGCATGAGGGTTTTGAAGCACTACATCATCACTGCTATTGCTTGAGGCATACAAGAGATAATTTTTTAAAAGAACACAAAGAGGTTAATTTAGAACATCTATTGTGGCAAGTCGGGTGTGTAGCGAACGTATTAGTGTATGAGCACTGTAGGGAGAAAATTAAGTCACTGTCAGTAGAGGCACATAATTGGATTGAGCAAAACTTGAAGTCGCAATACGTAGATCGATAGGTGTTAAGCAAAGATGTGGGATATGCTATTGTATGATGACAACTAATTGCTTTGAGAGTTTTAATGGCGTACTCAAGGGTGCCTGGGCTATGCCAATTCGAGTCTTATTGCAAGGACATTTACCAGTTGAACGCATACTTTAACAAACAGTGTGGTGGTGGAGCACATTGGATGATGACGTACATCCTAAAAAATGAGAGCATCTTGTAGAAAAGCATCGTGTCTATAAAAGATCATGTAGAATTACTTCGTACAGTGATAATGAGTCAGAGGTTAAAGATTGTGAAAGAACTTATACCGTTTATCTCTTTGATCAAGACTGCAGGTGCACTTGTAACATACCTCAATTGCAAAAATTGCTATGTGAGCATGTCCTAGTGGCTGGTTTCAATCAAGATGATAGTGCTAGAATGCTTTCAGATCGGTAATGTCTGCTTGATATTCAACGAATCATTACCAAAAGACACAAGGAGAGTTTTCATCCTCTTGATGATAGTCGCTATTGGTCGGCATATGACAGACCAGATTTGTTACCACCTCAGTACAAAAGACAAGTGGGAGAATCCTGATCTGTGCGCATTAGAGGTACCATGGATCAAGGGCGAGCAGGAGTAGCAAAACGAATTAAGTGTAGCCAATGTTAATCAACAGAGTCATAATAGGTCTCGTTGTCCATCCAGAACAAGTAGATATCAATTAGTTGGTATTAACTTTTCTATGTTTAATTAATATTTTTTAACTTTATTAATTTAGCTGGTATTAATGTGTGATTAGTTGTATGTGCAGGTATGCACACTATGCGTCCTGGGCCAGATAGAGATGAGGTCATTCACGATCAGTCATGCCACCGTTTTGAGATTATATTATTTTTAGAAGTAACCAATTTGTTGAATACATGAAACAATTATTTATTTTGACTTAATTGCGTATAAATGTTGTTGATGATGTTGAGGCCACTGCAATGAGGATCTAGTACTTTCTGTCGCAAGAACAAATTGAGTACACACGTCTCTGTATCAGCGGATAGTGCAAAGGATTCATTGAGCTATGAATCGAACTCACAAGGATCTTCATGATGGTCGAGAGGTGATAGTGGAGGATCTCTTATGTGTCTTGCCCCGAGCCCGCGAACCCATTGGCGTTATGTAAGTCCTAGGACCCATAAAATGTAAGTTGTGTAATACATGATTTGGCTCAGCCCACTGCCAAAATTGACTAGTTAATTTCGCTCTCAATATCCATCCTTTAAACCATTCAATTGCTCAATCAATATCCAATGTGGGACTAAATCTTGGGTATCATAATCGCCCACCTTAATTACGCAACGTTCTCATCACAACATGACAATTGGTCCATCCCAATATCATCACCAGACAACGTGGACTCTAGAGGTGGCTCCTACAAGCTTCTAGATGTGGCTCCCACCGCACCTATGCGGTATGCACTTATTCTCGCATAGCACTTAGCTTCACATTTTCAGCTGGCTAACTACTCTGATACCATTTATCACGCCCTCAGCGCGCGAAACCCATTGGCTCAATATAAGTCATGGGACCCACAAAGTGTAACACATGATTTGGCTTAATTTACTGTCAAAATTGACTAGTCAATGTTACAGTTAGCTCTGAAGACCCACCATTTAAATCATTCAATCATCTCAAATCAATATCCGCTGCGGGACTAAATCTTCAGTATCACAATACACATGCGGACCAAATTGACGGAGACGAGAAGGGAGGAGCGATGATAAAGCTGGACCGTCATAATCCAACACAACTGGACAACAACCTCGTGCAAGTTCAGGTCCATGGAGGAGGAGGACAATTTGAGCTGGTAAGAAGAGGGAGACAAGGGGGAGACTTTTAGGTTGTATGAAATCATTTTTTGGATTTTTTTGCCTTGACTCTATTTGAGTTATTGATATATGTTATTTATAAACTAATACACTTGATATATTTGGTTTTATTGTGATGTTTTGATGTATGGAGATAATATGTGTTGTTGCGATGTGTTTATCAATTGCGTTTTGTTGCAATGTTTTGGTTTTGGTCACGAGAGAGAATATGTTTTTATATGTTTAGATGTGTATGAAGTTATGTACATGAATTTATATGTTTGGATATGTACATAAGGTGAATTGGAAATTTTATATGCACAGGAGATATTTTGTATGCATAGGAGGTAATCTATAAACAAGCATGCATATTTGTGCATCTTTGGAAAGTACACGGGACTATAGTCTCGTGTATTTTCTGGTTTTGTCTGCAAAATACATGGGACTACTAGTCTCTTGTAATTTCTAGTTCTATCTACAAAATACACATGATTAGTAGTCCCATGTATTTTTGGTCTTTAATTACTTTTGTAATTAATATTCGCTAATTACATGAGACTATTAGTCCCGTGTATTTTAAAGACAATTTGTGCGAAATCCACCTCTTTTTGTCCAGCCTTGATGATGTAGCCAAAAAGAGGTCGATTTTGCTATTAATTATGTAAAACGGTTGATTTTGATTTTTTTTAAGAAATTGGTCTTTAAAAAAATAAAAAACTCTCCGCCTTATGCTAGACAACTTCATCTTAGCAGTTATTGGAATTTCAAATCGAATGCTCATATGTGTTCTGTTATAATTTGTTTTCTTTTTCATCCTTCTGCGCATCTCTGACTTACTGCAGACTTTCGAAAATAAGAGCTTGGTGCTGACTAAATGTCAGACTATGCCGGTGCTGACTAAATGTCGACTATGGCATAATTTTATTTTTATACCATTCATTTATTACTTCTTATTAGTGATTGTCATCTGGTCCTAAAAGCTTGCAAGTTACCTTGTAATAGATTCAGGCATTCACAGCTTAGGCTAGTATTTATATTTGTTTGTACTTTTAGATGGAACGTGTGTCTACCATCGTTAGTTCGACAATAGTTACATATTTATAGACAATATAGGAATGAGATAAAATAAACTCTGTACATATACTGACTCCCTAATATATTTATGTACGATATGCACATTATTGAACTCTACAATAATCTTGAGTTTCAAATCTTTCAATAGTGAAAGCATGCACGTAAGACACATCCAACAAACTTTTCATTTTGTATCAATTTTGTTGTTGAAATGAAAAATTAGTAACTTATAACTAATTAACTACACCTTTAGCACATCTTTAAGAACCTTTACAGATATCACCCAGAGCACCTTCAAGCCTTGTTGGCAATATAATTAATCACAACTAAACAAAACCAATTCGAAGTACAGTATTAACCAGGTTCAAGGAGAAGAATGAGCAATAGCTAGGCCATTGATCAGTGCTAATGCATTGCTAGTAAGCTGTGCCACATTCACCACATGGCTCCTCACTGCAGTCATAACCTCTCCATTCATGGAATTGCCTGAAAACCCACCCATGCAAGTGTCATCATTGTTGGCCTTCTTGTTTTGATGATGTTTAACAAACAATTTATTACTAATGTTGTTTGTCTAGTGTTTGTACATTCCTATGTTTTGTAGACAAACAACGTAGTTGGAGGTTGGATGGATTGAGCCTACACGATCATATCAAGAGGAGGTTGGTGGAATTGTGGAGTGAAGCATCGTACAATTCAAGTTCAAGATCCAAGTTTAGCTTCATCCGCAAGTGTACCAAGATAGAGCTTCGTTGAAGATCAAGATTGCTTGGGTAATTTAGTTTAGGAATTTATATTATGTGTGTTAGTACTTTAAGCTCAATCATATACACACATACACATTTTGAATTTTGTATATATATAGTTATATATATACGTATATGTTTTGGTTTGATAGTTTTCAAGTTTTACTATGAAACAAATGAATAGAATTGGAAAATACTATTTTGTTTCATGTTTATATACCTATATATGATTTCCCCTTTAACAAGCTTATATTTAATGAAATCATATTTAGTGTTTTGTATATATTGCATAGAATATGCAATTTTGTGAAAATATGGTTTTCTTAGTTTTTGGACTTAACAATAATCATATCCATATTTTATTAAGTCTATATAATCATTGTGCAAAGTTTCAAAACATGGTTTAGCTAAAATATCAAATTTCACATGTTTACATTTTCGTGTTTTGAACTATTTTGCAAAATGATGATTTTTCACAAATGGGAAATGCAATTTGGAAAATTCTTTTTGTAACATGTTCATTTACATGTTTATATACATTTTCCAAAGTTTCATAATTTTTGGACTTCATTTGTTATTTTTAACATTTTTCCAAAGTCTTAAAAGTCAGCTTTAAAATCAGGTTTTGAAATGTCTGTTTTCGGTCGACCGCACCGGTCGACCGCTCGTTTGTTTTTTCGTCAGCATGGTCCAGAGAGTTGGTCGGTCGACCGGTCCGGTCGACCGAAAAGCTCCATCGGTCGACCGCACCGGTCGACCGGATAAGTGTTTGCTTGATTTCCTGTCTTCGACCTGGATAACGGTCGACCGAACTTTCCATCGGTCGACCGAATTTTTCCATCGGTCGACCGACGGAATTTTCAGTCGACCGACAATATAGCCGTTGCTTTTTAACGGCTCTTTCTCTGAGCTGTTTGCTGGGGTTTTTGGTCATTTCGTTTTGGGGTTTTTGGCTGAGCTTTGAGTGGGTATATATACCCCATTGCTGATGTCTTTTCAAGTTAGCCAAGAGAGTTTTAAAACAAGTTTAAGAAAGTTTTTAATCAAGGGTTTAAGTTTTGTTTAAAAGAGTTTAAGAGTTTAGTTTGTGAAGCAAATTTCACAAGAGCAAAGAGGAGATCATTCTTTGGTGTTTGGGCATTCAACTCATCTCTCTCTCACTCTTGATCTATAGAGAAGTTTTCCTTAAACTCAATTCTAGCTATTTATTGTTTTGATCTTAATTTCCATAAGCTAGATTTATATATTGAGTTTAATTGTTTTATTGATACTCTTTGTTCACACACAACCTATTGAGCTTATTGTATTTTCATTCATAGTATAATTTTGGGTTGTGAGATTAGTGACTTAGAGTTGTGCTTAATTGAGTTCTCACCTTGTTTAGAGAACAAATCATTTGATTTATATTGTGCTTATTGTGAGGATTCACTTGTAATACACTTGTACACCGAGAGAAGTGTGTGGTGAGAGACGGGGTCGAATCCAAGAGGAGTGGCGTCGGTTGACGTGCCTAGGGAGAGGTTGTAACCGAGCACTTGAGGAGGAGGACACGGGCTAGGACCAACACTTAGTGTGTGAGGTGTGATTACATAGTGATTGTATTGTGAGGTGTAAACGTTGTTCGGGTGAACGTAGAAAACCCGGTTGTGATAGTGGAGATCTCCTCGAGGTGAGGAGCGGGGACGTAGGTCGTGGGGACCGAACCTCGTAAACATATCGTTTTGTTTGTGATTGCATTGGCGTTCTTATTCTTGTTTTCATATCTTATATCGCCTTTGTGTATTGCTCATCATATTACCCTATCACTTGTGTAGATTGTTTATTTTACCCTTGTGTTAGTTCATATATCCTTGCTCATATATTTGTAATATCTCATTGATAGGATATATTCATTTGTTCATATTGCTTATCCTAGCTTACGTATCTTGTTGTATTTTATACTTGCTAGGATAACTTATTAATTAGTTTTAATTGGCATTTAATCGGATTAGATTAGCATAAGACCCTAATCACCCCCCCTCTAGGGTCTAACAATTGGTATCAGAGCTTGGTGCTCTTTGATTTAAGGTCTAACCACCTTGAGTTAAAGATCCAAGTTATCTTATTTGTGCTAATCTAGTTATGATTGCATTTGTCTTGCTTGCATATGTTCATATATATATCTTGAATATGAATGTATTTTGTTTAGGCTATAAATCCAATGTTGCTCCTAAATTCATTAATTTTCCCTATGCACAATGGGCTTCTAGATTTAAACTATTTGTTGAATCTAGAAATATTGACTTATGGAAAATTATTGATTGTGCTTATATTGTGCCCACATTGGAGAAATCCAAGTGGAGCGATCATGATAAGAAAATGTTTAATATGAACAAGTTTTTGTTAGAGTATTTGCTTAATGCCTTTGACTCATCATTTTCTAACAAATTTGTTCATTTTGATAGTGCTTACAATTTATGGAAATTCATAGAAGCACATCAAGGCAACTTGGAGGAAATCCGACGTAGTTTGGAGGATTGTTCTTCAAGTGAGTGTGGAGCATCATCATGCACACGGCCACTAGGCGATAGCCCTAGTGTGGTAAGCGATTCGGAATCCGAAAGTGATATATCCATCAATGAACTCGCTTGTGCATATGAGAAATTATTGCATGCCTATACAAAATTACAAAATAATTTTATTGATCTTAAAAGCAAGCATGTAGAATTGAAATCCGATCATGAGAAGCTAGTGTCCAAATTTGACATCATTGAAAATGAAAATATAATGCTTAAAGAAAACAATGATATGTTAAATTTGAAAAATAAAAAATTAACCTCATCCATCACTAGCTTATCTCATGTTAAAAATAATGCCATGTTAGAAGTAGAGAACATACAAAATGATACCGCTTCTTTTATAAATAACAATATATGTTCTACTTCTAATAACAATACTTGTATGCATAATGATGAGTTGAATCATGTTAAGGATCACATATCATCTTTAGATTCAACCCTTAAAACATGTATTGTTAATCATGATAAGCTTATGAACATGTGTGCTAAGTCTCATGCTAAAACATCTAAACATCCTATTCATCATGCACACATGTATAGCAAAGTCTACAAATGCACAAATTGCGGTCGTAAAGGCCATCTTGCTAGATTTTGCTATGATGCACATAACCCCACCAAGATTCACTTTAATCCTCCTTGTGCATCTCATCAAGCTTCATCATCACATTTTGCACACACACATGCACATGCATCTATTTCTCATCATAAGCATGCTAATGTGTATAAATGTGTTCTATGTGGTCGTTTTGGCCATTTGGCAAAGTTTTGCTTTGATTTGAAAAAGAATTCTAGTTTGCCAAATGTTTCTAGTAGAACACATGTTTTTAAATGTGATGTTTGTGGTAGATTTGGCCATTTGGCGAAGTTTTGCTATGATTTGAAAAAATGTTCAAACTTGCCAAATTTCTCAAGTAAACCACCTTTGCTTAAAAATGTTTTACACTTGCAAAATAATTTTAAAAGACCATCCATGTTTGCAAATGATTCTAATGTTTCCCGTGCACAACCGTTTGGTCAACATAAGCAAATGCTTCCTTTCCATTGTACTTATTGCAATCGGAAGGGTCATTTGAGTAATTATTGCTATGACTGATCCCGTGCACCATATATGTCCAAGAGGGTTCATAACCCTAGGACTTTGAGCTTTAATGATAGGGGTCATGTCCCTAATCTCTTAGGTACCAAGAGTAATTTGGTGCCAAAATAATTTTTAAAGCCAAGAATTTTAGTGTTTTTTTTCTTTTCTTGATTTTGAAAATTATATCTTTAAAATCTTTTAGTTATGAAAACAATTTTTCTTGTATCAAAATCTTTTGTTTTCATGATTATTTTTTTTGTTTGATGAGAGGACTATGTTTATATAACCCTCCGGATTTATTGGGTGTTTATTCCCAAATCATGTTTACCGGATGCTAGAATGATTATATGGGTTGAAACAAGCTTAAGAGCTTGATATATTGTTGCATCTCTTGAAATTCTTTTGTCAAAGAGTTTGTTTTGATTTATTGCTTTGAATTCATTATATTTCACTTATATGATGATATTTATGTGTTTGTGCTTATGGATCATCTATTCGTGCCTTATAATGTATTCCATATGTGGTTTGATCAAAT